AGCGGCGAGGCCGGGCCGCCGGCCGCCTCCCGGCAGCGCGGGGAACCTCCCCGGGTTGCGAGCCCCGGCCCCGGCCGGCCCGCCGCTGCCCGTGGAGAGCAAGGGCCAGGCAGGGGAGGACCCCATGGCTGCCACCCAGCCCATGGGTGGAGGAAAGCCACAAGAAAGTGAACCTAAATGTAGACATTTTCTATATATGAAGAGTTTATAATTAAGTATCGCCCTTCCTTTCCGTCAGATCGTGAAGTTGCCGTGCCAATTTCCTCCCTGCGGCCCCTTAAGCCGGTGCAGTATTGCTACAGAGCGCCCTGTATCGCTGGCCCTGGCTGTGCGGTGACTGGCCCTCCTCGCTCGCGAGCCCGGCAGGGGCTGCCAAGGAGAACACCAAAGAACACCCTGTACTTCAGCGATGGTTCTTCGTCGCTGACGCAGAGCCAAGGCCTCCGGTCTCAGTGTTTCCAAGCAGCTCTCCGGGGTCAGTCACGGGCTGCCCGGCCATGGATGCCTTATGCAAACACAGCTCCCAGCAGGATCGAGCTGTGCCCAGCAGCTGCCATCGGCTCCTCGGGAAGGGCTGAGCGCTCCTGCTGAGGCCCGGCAGATGCTTGCACTGGAAACAGCCCCTGGAAGCCTATTGATAGGCCTCAAGCTGTTGTAACGTCTGTGGTGGTCACTTCAGCCAGACTGACCGATCTGTGGCTGTCTGAGATGCAGCCACAGTGGCATCAAGTCCTCCACTCGTGCCTGAGGCAGCTGTGGACACCGGGGGAACTAACGCCAAGCCAGTTGCACATGTCCGCAAGGGCAGAAAATCTGACAGCACAGCACCTGCCTACAGAAATGAAGTTCTATAAGCCAAAGCTGCTCTTCTCCTACATGCGAGGATTGAACCTTGTGCTGCTCCTCCACTTGGCAGTATTTTCTCAGTCAAGGGCAGAATAACCAGCAGCAGTCACTTTATGGGTTAAGGGAGAGAAAAGAAAAAGGAGGAAGGATGAACAAAAAAGGAAAAAGATGACAGCAGAAGCTTCAGCTGAGCTAAGGACCATAGGCTACCTGAAGGCTGGTGCTGAGAAAAACACAGGTGTAACGAGTACTTGGCCTCACTGTGGCAGAAAAAGCAGGCACTCTCATCAAACCCATGCTTTAATACCGGTAGCATAAGGAGGCCACCTTTTGGTGCTAAAGTTGCCTGTGGTTTCAAAACCAGGGAGACCTAGATTCTGTAAGGATACACAAACCGTCACTTGAAGAGGGGAGTTAAAATTACTGCTGATGCTTTTGCACAAAGAGGTGACAAAACAACTGAACGCTTCTTTATGGTAGGCTCTGTTCAGATCCATAGTAACGAATGCCTGCCCTCAAGATCTCATAAACTTAAGACAGAACATCTACAGGAACACAGAACACATCCTTACCCCCATGTTACACATACATTTTTTTAGATGATTGTTTCCTCTTTGAGGTCTAAAAAACTGTCCATGCAGATCTCCCAGTTTCATCAGAAGTAAAACCAACACACATTCAGCTACAGCAACAGGTGTTCTCTTGAGCTACAGCAATGAATGCAGAATAAACCAGAAAAAGCTGAACCAATTTTGCTCATTAATTTTAAGTCTTTCAGATAAAAATTCAGTCCTATAGCATCTGGAAAGATTCAACACAATAATGCTTTCTGTCTACTGTGCCAAATTTCCCCTCATGTACATTAATTTAATATTCTTTGCGCAGTTAGAGTAGCACGTAACAGCTTCTATCGACAAGATCAGCCTCATGTATAATATAATATAATATACATGGCCTTGCCATACAGCTATTACACGTTCTGTAAGACCAGTTACTTGTGCGCTCTTCATGTAAAAGAAAGATCTCCCACCACAATATGCAGTGCAGAACTGTGCATATCCATATTAGAGTTTACAAAACAAAATTCGTTCATCAAAAATGAGACAGCCTACATGCCACCAAGGTAATTTTGCTGCTGAAATCTTGAATTTCTTAAAATTAATCCTGCAAGCTTAAAATTAGAAAATGCATCTGAGAAATATAAATGACCTTTCTTTCATTTTGCTTATGTTTCAATAAACCTGTTTAGATTTGTAGACTTCAGGGGAATAATATTTAACTGAATATTCTAGAATTCAGAGGAAAAAAATCAAGATGCCATTTTTAAAATTAGGTTGTTTTCAGATGTTTGTTGTGTTTTCAGTGAATAATTTTTTGGCAGGTTGCCTTAGAATGGTGACATTCCCATTAATGCTGAGAGAAGAAAAGTGCATTGTCATCACAGAGTTTGGAGAGCCTCTTTAGTGTTCAGAACTAATTTCTTTTTTTTTTTTCCTTTCTTATTTTAAACAAAGGCCAGCACTAGTAGTAGGATTATACCTATACCTTGTAAGAAAAGGTGAAAATCTCAGAAATAGGTTTTATTTTTTTGTCTTTTCCGTAACTCAGAATTGCCTATAGAGTTTTTATTCAAACTTTCAAAATTGACTTTGATCACTGAAAAGGAATGTAAACTGGCACTCCTAAAGGGGATGAAACAGGAAAATTATTAGCCTATATAAACAAAAAGTGAATAGAACTCTTGTAACATTAAGCTGCAGTTGTAATTCAAGGAGTCACTACAAGTGATCCTCTAGCCCGTCCTGTCCACCCCGCCCTATTCAGAATTTTATTTACTGCAAATTATATCCCTAAAAAGTCAAATGTCCTCTTATTTCTATGAGCACAGTGCAGAAGTCGGGAACTGAGACAGAAAGTACTAGATGTAATGATATTGATACATAGGAATATAGCTTCAGGCAGTGCCAGATACTGCTCTAAGTCACGCAGGTGCTGCTCCGACACCAGCAAGACAGCACAAAATATGTCCGAGGTTATTTGGATTGGCAGGAACTAAACTCAACTGAAATACCACTTACAGACTTTTTTTACTTTCCTTTGAAAGCTAAGCAAAATAAACGAGAAGTTACTGACTACAACACAAGCAAACACATATGAATTTTACAGTCATCTGTAGAAGTCGCTGTTTTATAGGCGGGCACAGTCATAAAACTATAATAACTTAAGGATATTTACATACATACTTAAATGGCGCTGGCCATTGCATTAACTCGTTTTACCACTGCTATCCTACACTAAGTTTTCCAACAAGTTAGCTTATGTAGTGTTGATTATGCTGATAGACGAAGATGACACGTACGGTCTCAAAGAATGCATTATAAAAAGGGACAACAGTAGCTAGTTACTGTGTGAGGCATATTCAGTTTAACTGTACCTCCCATTCCATTCCATTTCATAACCTTGAATTGATATTTTATACCTCCTACCTGCCAGCATTGATAGTTACATTTTTTTTCTTACGTAATTCTACAAATCAGGAAAAAAATTGTTCCCAATATGACCTTTTCAACTTGCAACATAGAAAATTCAAGTACTTAAAGTCATCTGTATACCAAACCACCTCAAAGGTGGCATTTGTCTTAAACATATGTAGACTATTTCAAGCACCCTTGAGCACCTCTTTGGTCTGTCCAGTCGCTTCTAATTGTTAGGTGCTTCATTCATCCAGGCACCCCAGCCTCCCCTTGGGCTCAAAGCTCATTATTTACTCCTCACAATCCAGCTGTTTAACACTGGACACCAAACCTTTCCTGCCCTGCTTACCAGCTGCACTAACCTGTTGTGAAGTGGGCCGCTGATGAGAAAACTTGCAACGCTGCATTAGGCTGCCAACTTAGGGCACAGTTCTACTGAGAAATTGTTACTTCTGCCTGATATTTTAGCATGTCAAAGGAATTAAAACAATATCCGGGGCATCAAAGTTTACATTTGGTATGTTAATGTATTTTGCAATCAATTTATCAAATGGCTTATGTATACATTGCCATTTTAATAAATACTTTGCCTGCAATGTGCATATGCTATAGTAACAGAGATTTGAAAGCCCTTACCCTTATGCCCAAACTGAGTAACTTTCTTAGGCGAAGACTCTGTCAAAATTATACAAAGCAGAAAATAAAGGTAAGTTTGAAGTCAAAACACCAGTCAAAATTTTGCAGGACAGTCAAAATCTGCGGTCAAAGAACATTAAGAATTTACAGGACTGAAAACAATAAAGCTAAATAATCCAGCATTTTCAGATGATGGTATTGAACTTTTTTGAAGCAAAAGAAAAAAGCAATTACACTGTCTTTGTCTCTCAACTACAGCATTCAATCAAGGGGACTAACAAAGCAATGGAAACAAGTGTATCACACCAGAGATTACTATCTCTATTAGCAGCATTATCAGAAGCAAACATAAGCTCATAAATGGCAAAAACTGAGGCTAAGTATTAGCGCCAACAAATCTTCCTAAGAGGTTTAAGCCAGCATTTGGTACTTGTAACACAGGACCACTGGAGAACTTTTCATGATGGAGAAACACAAGCAGCTAGAAGCAGAGGTAGCTTGAACATGCTGCATCCAGACCTGTTTGTGGCCCCAAGTTTGGCTTTCAAGCCCTATGCAGTAACTTCAGAGTGGTTAAACTCCCCTGCATTTCGAATCTATTGCCCCCTGGGGCAAACACTATACAAGCCATTAAAATGAACACAGGTCTGCTGAGTTCTTTAAACACCACAGGCAACTTTTCCATGCAAGCTTTATTCCTCCCAACCCCTACTACCTCCATCTCCGCACTGCCAGCCTTACGCCGTTGGAGCTGTGCGTGTTACAAACCTCTACACAAGCCGCCCACTACCAGGTCAGGAACTTGAGGGGCCTGCCCTGCTCAGAGGTCTGGGCTGGCCACCGAGCAGACTCCCACTTCCCCTCGGTCTTCTGATCGATTCCCTTTATCGGGAAGCGTATCATCTGTACAACACATGATGCTTGTAAATAACATAGGTACACGCACCGATTACAACGTCTGGTTCCCAGTGCACATTGCTGACTGAACAAATGACCGTAAAGTTGCCGGTGGTTTGCAGATGGTCAGAGCCAGTCAAACCTGAGGAGCGGATTGCTGGGTGTCTAAGGTTCAGATGCTGATGGAAGCGTTTTCTGCAGTAGGTGTGTTCTTCACATCTCAGACTGATGACCAAAAAAGCTACTCCTCTCCCTCACACACAGACATGCTTCCTTCTTCAGCAGTTATCTATTTGTAAAGAATCTGTATGACTTTTTGAAGACTTATTTAAACTAAGAGGTCCCAAACTTACCAGAGCAGGTAGTTAATTAGCTAGAAGGAAGAAAAGGGGAGGGGAGGAAGAGAGAGAGACAAGAGTTCTGTTTTAATTTCCTTGGTAATCCTGGGTATTCTTGGATATATTTGAATAGATTTAGTCTATTCAAATCCAAATATCCACACACCTGGAACATCAAGACCTGGCAGCTTTACACAGGTGCTGTGCAACAATCATATACCAAACATAACATGGTAATAATAAACATTGCAGCAGTATTTTCAGAGTGACTGAGTCCCCAAAAGACAAGATCAATTTCTATCAACAACAAAGACAACCTTTTATTGAACAAATCTATGTACAGTACAAAAAAGTTTTTAAAATGAAACACTACTGTTGATTTATTGCAGTTTGATGGCTCAGTTTTAATTTGTACTCTTATATAAAATGCAAAGTAAAATAATTTAACATTCAACAAGGAAGCACAAATTTCCTTTCTTGCTGAACCTGTAACAGCTTTTACAAATTAAGAGTCCCAAAATGCATACACTGCATTTAATCAGAAAGGTGTTATACAGTACCAAATAAATTAAGAAAATAGTAACACTACCACCCCCTTTGAGT